GTTTATGTTTTTAATAATAATATTTTTCTTGTTAACGCACCAAAATGAGCGGCCTCACAACTGGAAATTAGAAGGGGAGAGTAGTTTTTTCCCCACTAAGATTTTTTTATATTTGTCTCAATTAAAAAAATTAAAATTTAATATTAAAATTTAAAGTTAATTGATTTAAACTTTAAATTTTATCTTAAAATTAATCAAATAATTCTAAATTTGCATTACAGAGTTACATCCGTCTCAGTATTATTAAATACATTTTATACTAACAATAGTTCAACTAAATAATTAATAACCAAGTAATTAAAATATCTTAAATATAAAATAAACTCAATAACTTAGAAAGAGAATACTTATATTCATAGAGTAATTCAGACCTTGATTACATCTACGAATTAGAACTTTCGAAAAACAAAATATCATTTTTGTATTTTTTAATTTATGAAATTGAAATTGCACGGTTACAAAGAAGTTTAACTATTATCTACAGAATTATTGTTTATTGTTCTATTGCTTGTGAATTATCATCTACTAATTTTATCATATATTAATTTCAAGTTTAAAAAGTTATGAGAAATTGATAAAAATATAATGCAATGATTTGAGTTTGAGTTGTTAAAAATACAACGTAGTAATTTAAGTTTAAATTATTGTTAATTGTTGCTCTCTTTTTTATTATCTTGCCTTATTTTTTAAATAGAGAAGTTCAATACAAATTCTAGTAACTATCTCATTTATCTTATTCAAGATAATTACCCACTCATTTGTTGTTTCAAAGATCTTGTATCATGTAAACTTTTTATATTTTTCATTTATCACGCACATTCAAATCTAGACTTTATTAAGTCTAGTTTATAATAAAGTTTAACATGTTTTTTTTATGTTCTGGTCCAAACTTTATAAATTTTTGGTCAATTTTTTTATGTGTAACACTTAGTCCTATATTAAATAACTTTTTAATGATTGGTTTGTTTCTCAGATTAAGATTTGAGTTTGAGTTGTTAAAAATACAACATAGTGATTTGAGTTTAAGTTGTTGTTAATTGTTGCTTTCCTTTTGATTATCTTGCCTTATTTTTTAAATAGAGAAGTTCAATACAAATTCTAGTAACTATCTCATTTATCTTATTCAAGATAATTACCCACTCATTTGTTGTTTCAAAGATCTTGTATCATGTAAACTTTTTATATTTTTCATTTATCACGCACATTCAAATCTAGACTTTATTAAGTCTAGTTTATAATAAAGTTTAACATGTTTTTTTTATGTTCTGGTCCAAACTTTATAAATTTTTGGTCAATTTTTTTATGTGTAACACTTAGTCCTATATTAAATAACTTTTTAATGATTGGTTTGTTTCTCAGATTAAGAGTTAATTGGCAATCAAAAAGACTTTAATGTATTTATCTATATTTATATCAATTAGTTTTCATGAGATAATTTGAATTTTTTAATTTCAGTTTTTTTATTTAAAACCTTTTATTTTTTGTTTTTTAGCATCTTCAGATGATTTTGAATATATATATATAGTCTCTACTAACTTGTTGTTTCAAAGATCTTGTATCATGTAAGCTTTTTATATTTTTCATTCATCACGCACATTCAAATCTAGATTTTATTAAGTCTAATTTGCAATCAAGTTTAACATGTTTTTTTATGTTCTGGTCCAAACTTCATAAATTTTTGATCAATTTTTTTTTATATAACACTTAGTCCTATATTAAACAACTTTTTAATGACTGGTTTGTTTCTCATATTAGGAGTTAATTGGCAATCAAAAAGACTTTAATGTATTTATCTATATTTATATCAATTAGTTTTCATGAGATAATTTGAATTTTTTAATTTCAGTCTTTTTATTTAAAACCTTTTATTTTTTGTTTTTTAGCATCTTGAGATGATTTTGAATATATATATATATATATCTATTTTTTGAGAAGTTGATATTTTAATATTTGGAAAAACACATCAATATTGCTGTCCTTGTAGTTTGCTATTCTGTTTTAACTTACCAAAAACATATCAATCACATAAAAGAAGAAAGCATGGTAATTAATTTGTTGAACGACAGCTGTAAAAATGCAATATAGATGAATAGATTGACAGATGTGCCCCTGCATTGTACGAATTATTGGTTCATGTGCTAACATTCATATTGGAAGGTTCCTAGAAGAATCTTACCATAAAGTAAGAGCAGGCATTCAATTAGGTTCAGATATTACTGTCATTAAATTTTTCTTGTTTCTTTTTGGATTGCTGTAAAATCTTGTTCAATGGCAACATGCCTCCCTTTACGGAGAAAATGAGAAGAATTAAATTTGAAAACGACTGTAAAAAATGATGCGAAAATAATAGTCATTGTGCTGAGATTGATGGGAGAAAGATGATTATCATTATGCTCCAATATTTTTAATGGACCGTTGTATATTAAAAGATTATCTAATATCAAAATAATTTGTGAGCCCAATTCCCATTTATAATTAAGAAGAAACAACACATGGATGACATTCATAATCTTTAGATGGCACGCACACGCCACCACTTGATGGTTAAACATGATTTTCTACTGTGTTCTTGAAAATGCTACCACATTTTTTTTATTTTTCTATCTATTATAACATGTAATAATAAATAATGAGCAGTTTATTACCAATAATTTTTTTTATTTCTTCTTTTTTTCTTTCTTTTCTAGAAAAGTTCTTGTTTGTTCTTTTTTATTACTTATTTTTATCCTTGATTCTTTTAGAAATTTTTTTTGTGTTTTCAATATAGTCTTTATATTATTTTTTTCTAATTTATTTCTTATTCTTAGATTTATGATTTTTTTTTGCTCCTTTATTAAAGTTTTATTGGTTTTTAATTTTATTTTTCAATTTAGTGCTCATTCTTTTAATTTTTTTTTCATTTGTTAAAATTTTCTTTCTTTAAATTAACTCTCAAATTTAAATTTATTTATGCCCTCTAATTTATCTCTTATTGATTTTCACCCTTATTCTTTTAATTATATTTTTTTATGTGATTGAATTTTTTTTCTGATTTCATCTTTTGACATCTGATTTGTTTGAGATTAGAATTTGTAGTTTTTTTATTTGTCATTGTTCTTATTTAATGACATAGATCACAAGTTTTAAGAGTTGATACAGTTATGGATCCTTTTTTTCTCGTTTTCTTTAAAAAATTTACCATTCAACATTATTTTTTTATAAAAAATTTAGTTTTGTGATTATCTTAAATTTCTTTTCTATTGTTTTATCTCGGTTACATGACCTAGGCTATGAGTTTTGTAGATTTTTTTTGGATAGAGTTTTTTTTTTTTAAAAAATTGTTTTGTATTTAATTTTTTAAGAATCGCCACCACTTGATGGTTAAACATGATTTTTTACTGTGTTCTTGAAAATGCTACCACTTTTTTTTTTCTATCTATTATAACATGTAATAATAAATGATGAGCAGTTTATCATCGATAATTTATTTTATTTTTTTATTTTATTTTTCTTTTCTAGAAAAAGTTCTTGTTTGTTCTTTTTGTTTTTTGAGTCCTTGTATTTTTTATTATTTATTTTTATCCTTGATTCTTTTAGAAAAAAATTTTGTGTTTTCAATGTAGTTTTTATATTATTTTTTTCTAATTTATTTCTTATTCTTAGATTTATGATTATTTTTCTTTGCTCCTTTATTAAAGTTTTATTAGTTTTTAATTTTATTTTTCAATCAAATTTTATATTTTTTTTCAATTTAGTGCTCATTCTTTTAATTTTTTTTTCCATTTGTTAAAATTTTCTTTCTTTAAATTAACCCTCAAATTTAAATTTATTTATGCCCTCTAATTTATTTCTTATTAATTTTCACCCTTATTCTTTTAATTAAAATTCTTTATGTGATTGAATTTTTTTCTGATTTCATCTTTTGACATCTGATTTGTTTGAGATTAGAATTTGTAGTTTTTTTTATTTGTTATTGTTTTTATTTAATGACATAAATCACAAGTTTTAAGAGTTAATATAGTTATGGATCCTTTTTTCCTTGTTTTCTTTAAAAAATTTATCATTTATCATTATTTTTTTATAAAAAATTTAGTTTTGTGATTATCTTAAATTTCTTTTCTATTGTTTTATCTCGGTTACATGACCTAGGCTATGGGTTTTGTAGATCTGTTTTGGATAGAGTTTTTTTTTTAAAAAATTGTTTTGTATTAAATTTTTTAAGAACTTTTTTTAATTTTATACAAATAATCTTTATTTTATAAAAAATTTAGTTATTTTAAAATAATATTTCTAATATGCCCGGCCTTACATGATATTTTTTTTTCTTGTATTATATTTACTTAATTTCATATGTATTTCTATTTCTACATTCTTTATTGATTTTAATAAACACATTCCGTAGATTCCAACAAGTAAATATTTCATTTTATAAGATTAAATATCTTGATTTATATTTATCTTTTTATTTTTTTAGTTTTTCTTTCAGTTATTAGTAATGATTTTTTTATTTACATAGATCATTATTAAATGATTATTAATTTATGTGATTAAATGTCTGAATAAACTTTTCAATTTATATTTTAAGTTTTTTCAATATAAAAAATATATTAAAATAGCTTTTATGCTCAGCCTTTTTTATTAAAAAAATTATGACCCGCGATGTAGTCTGTAACAAATAATTAGTGTGTGTGTGTTTGAATTAAGCAATCATTTGATATTTGATATTGGTAAGTTCAAATTCATTACAAGATCAGAAAAGGATTATTAATGAATTTGAGGGTAATAATTTGATTTAGATTAAAAAAAATAAAAAAACCCTCCGCTTTTACTACCTTTTGCATATGGTTGACCCTGTAGGAAAAGAAAATGTATAAACAAGTGAAATTTAAAGACAGCATAGCTGATGATCAAATTCGTTACAAGATGTTGAAGATCAACGTCTCAAGCCCACAGTCCACGTGTCCACAATTATGGAGGAACAAGTTGATATGACATTTACATGCACCTATACATACAGACACACTCTCTTCCTTACCCTTCGAAGCCCAACTTATATAGTTGAGGTCTCTCTCTCTCTCTCTCTCTCTCTCTAGCTAGCTTGCAAAACATAGAAGAAGACACAAGAAATAAGAAACAAAGAAACGAGCAAAAGCAAGCTATCAACAACACCAAAAGCAACAAGCAATAATACAAAAAATATCAGATCTTCCACTAAAACCATTCATTGGCGCGCGCGTGGCAGGGAGAAATGGCAACAGCTACCGTGTTAGGTACCGAGAGGGCAGATTTGAACTACAAAGAGACTGAGCTGTGTCTAGGATTGCCTGGTGCTGTTGGTGTCAAAAATGAAGTTGAGACACATAAGGCTACTGGGAAAAGAGGGTTTGCTGAGACTGTTGATTTGAAGCTCAATCTTCAGGCTAAAGAAGGTGTCATGGATCTGAATGAGAATATCAAGAATATTGCTTCAAAGGACAAGAACCAACTTCCTGCTGCTACCATCAAGGACCCTGCTAAGCCACCAGCCAAGTCAGTTTTTCTTTCCCGTGATTCTTCTCTTCTTCTTCTTTTTTCTTTTCCTGCTTCTATCTCTTGATATAAGTAATTCGTTGGAGATCAACAATTACAGGATAGGAATTGTATTATTGTTGTTGTTTTATCACAAACAACAAAATAATCCTCTTCCCTTGCTTTGTTATTGAAAACGTTTGGCAAAATTATCTCCACGTACGCAAAATCTTTTGGTTCTTTTTTATCCTTAATTAAAGGGATTTTTCTTTATTGGTGCCCCTCCTTGTGTGCAGTACTAGCTTCTTTTTATTTTTTTTCTGCTTTCTATTTGGAAATTAAAGGTGCAACATTAACATGTGTGATGTTGTATTTCAGGGCACAAGTTGTAGGTTGGCCACCAGTCAGATCTTACAGGAAGAACGTTTTGGCTCAGAAGAACGCCAGTGAGGAAGGTGAGAAGGCAAGCACTGGCGGAAGCAGTGCAGCATTTGTGAAGGTTTGCATGGATGGTGCACCCTATCTTCGCAAGGTGGACTTGAAGATGTACAGGAGCTACCAAGAATTATCTGATGCCTTGGCCAAAATGTTCAGTTCCTTCACCATGGGTGAGTATATATTTTTTTGGTTATATATCTCTTGATAAGTTAAGGAAAAAAATAAAATAAAGTACACTGAATTTAAGAGATCTAATTAATATTACAGACCAATAAACATTGTACAAGTACTAGTTATACATAGTTAATTTGGTTCGGATCAGGACCAATTCCAAATGTTGGCCATGCTTTTAAGAAAATGTTCTACCATAGTAAAACATGATGCGTTAATTAAGGATTTAAGGTTAAATATTTAAGGAGATGAACAGCTACTAGATGTACTTTTATCATTGTTTTTTTCCTTTTTCTTTAACTTTTTATTGTAGATGTACTTTGATCTGTTGTGGACAAAAATGAGTAAAAGAAAAGGATAAAAAAAAAACTATTAACAAGCTCACACGAGATCAAGTCATGGAATTACTTTAAGAAACTTCCTCGTGTTTCTATATTTTTAATAGATCTAGATTATTGTCGGATTAATGTTAATTATTTTGCTAAATTATCATATGATATAAACATTTTGAAGGTAATTATGGAGCCCAAGGAATGATAGACTTTATGAATGAAAGCAAGCTGATGGATCTACTTAACAGTTCCGAGTATGTGCCATCCTATGAAGACAAGGATGGTGATTGGATGCTTGTGGGTGATGTTCCATGGGAGTAAGTTCTTCGTATCCTAAAGGCTCTAAAAGCATGTAAATAGTTAATCAAATAATGAAGAAAAAAATTAGCAAAGTGATGAAAGTCCAAATTAGGCATTACACACACAAGTTTGAGGTCTTCCTAGCTCATCATATGGATCAAAACTATACAAGATTAGGCAGGCACAGCCAAATGGATTATTATTGCTATTTATTTTAATTAAATATCAGCGAAAAACGTAAGAAATGAAATTTTATCACTTACATAGATGCATATATTGGTCTTGTGCAGGATGTTTGTTGATTCATGCAAGCGCCTGCGCATAATGAAAGGATCTGAAGCCATTGGACTTGGTATGCATCTAGATATCTCATCATATATAACCATTTATAATAATTTATTGTTAAAGTTTCCGAATATAACAACAGCTTGCTTCTGTAATTATATGCTGATTTTGCGATAGTCTGCAACGAGTAATTATTAACTTAAATTTATGTCCAAGTTTCAGCACCAAGAGCAATGGAGAAATGCAAGAGCAGAACCTGAATCTTATGTACTCAATGTATTTAGGTTCCCTGCTGGATTCCCTCCTTTTAGCCTTGCATCCATGAAGACTAGCAGACAAGGCACTAGCGCAACATGGATGGATCAGTGTAGTGGTGTTCCTTTGGATGTGTCTTTACTTTACTTTTCTTTTCTTTTCTTTTAATTACGGCTGCTGTTATTTCTTAAGAAATGTGTCTGTATTTTCATTTGATCGTATATAGATATCAAAGATCTAGACATTTGTAATGGACATGAAGCAAAAAACTTAACCCCCGATTGGCTGGCTTGTGTAATAATCACCTATCTATTAATGTTAGTTGTTGTCTTGGCTGTCATTGCTGTTGAGTGTTTTATTCCTTCAATTTAATGCTACAGCTCTTTTTCTCCTAGAAAACAGATTCCTTATCTCGTATATATGCTTTTTCTTCCTTCATTAATAATTATTTTGGAGCAGGAGAGCTATTATATTCATGGCCCAAGAGAGGGTAGGGAACAAGGCCATGTGCATGTTGATGGAAGCATTCATTTATTACCATTAATTATTTTATGCTACATTTATTTTTTATGAGTTTGGCATAGGCAAATATGTGTTTCATTGATGAATCTTGTAGGCTGCTCAGCTGATTGTGGTTGGAATCCTATAATGTGGGATGGTGGTCAGCGGCATCTCCATTTTGAGGTTTCATGTATTTGTAACCGGTTGTTTTTTATTTTAAAATATATTAAAATATTTTTTTTATTTTTTAAAAATTTATTTTTAACGTCAACACATCAAATTAAAATATTTTTTTTATTTTTTAAAAATTTGTTTTTAACATCAACACATCAAACATTTATTAAAATATTTAAAATTATTTTAAAAAAATTATTTTTTTAATTTTTTTAAAAATATTTTTAAAATATAAAAACAAACAAGTTATCTATGTTTTCACATTGTTATTTTATTATTATTGAAACTGAATTTGATAGGAATAATGATAGCAATGTTTGGCAATGTGATTCTTTGAAAATTTTTGAATTATTTTTTAATTTAAATTAATATATTTTTAATATTTTTATATTATTTTATTGTATTAATATTAAAAATAATTTTAAAAAAATATTTGTGGTCGGACGCTAAAACACCGCAAGAATGATGTTGCTTCCACAATTTTTCACCAGACAGGGCCATGCCATTAAAAAAACCGCCGCTAGAAGTTTGGGAAAGGCCACACATAGTCTCCCGGCCCGAATTGGTTTGGGCTGCTTCTGGCCTCCAAATCTTTCCTCACTATTTGATAGAGAGCATGGCAGTATATATAGCTTGGGAGGGTTTTGGCCCAAATCTAAAGATCTTGTAAAGAAAGTTTAAGAGATCCAAGCCCAATCGTTTTCTTCTCTTACATGCATTTCAATTTTATTCCAAGTTTTCAGTGTTTTTTATTTAAGAATCCAATAATTGCCCGGGAAATAATCTATAGGTTGTTTGAGAGTCCCCTATGAATTGGGTAATAATCTAAGGAATCAAGATTTGAAACTACTTTATGGGCTTTATTGGGCTATTTCTAAGTCCAACAAGCCTTCCTTCAAGAGGAATTCACTACCCCTCTTGACCAATGACGAGTAAGCATGAGGGCATATATTTTTTTGTCTTTAATTTATAATTTAATAACTGAAATAATGTGTAGATGAGTTTGTTTTTGCATAGCACGCATTTGTGTTTTTCTAAGGAAAAAAAAGAGTAAATTAAACATGTAAGAGGATATGGTTGTTGTGTATTAAAGAAGGGATAACGTGATTTTGAGTGTCTGAACTTACTTAATTTTTAGAAATAGTATTTGATTTTTAATTTTATTAAAATAAGTATTTTCTAAAACATCTACACTAACACTTAAGATAATAATTAATGGATTATGAACGTAGATAGATTAGGTACATGAGAAACCTCTTTTGCTTTTCATACTTTAATCCCCCCCCCCCCCCCAAAAAGTAAACTATAAAATAACTCATTTTCTTACTATTAGTTTGGGTATCCACTTACAATGTAACGGGCAAAAAAAAAAATTAATGTAAGGAAAAGTAGAAAAGATACATTTTTCAAGTCTAGAATTAATTTTGTATTACTTTATATCTTGTTTGTCTTAAGGAAAATCATGTTTTTTTAACCTAGATTTGTTTTTTTAAAAAAAAATATTCATAATTGTTAAAGTTAGTTAAAAATATATATTTCAAAATAATATATCCATATCTTGTATGCAATTGAAAGGTTAAAAAATCATTAATATGATAAAATTGTGTTCAAAATCCATTTAAAATTTTTAATAACAAAAAAATTGATTTTAATTGGTTTTTCATGAGAAATTTAACATTGTTATTGTTGTCATGTCTAAAAACATAATAAATTTTTAAAATTTTTTTTAAAAAAATTAATATTATTTAAGAATTATGTAAAAATTTAAAAATAATTAATTTTTTTTAAAATGCTAAAAAAAAAATGTCTAGCAACAAAAAAAAATGTCGAGCTCAAGGCAAGTGCACGTAGGCATGGAGGCATGACCCTCGTGTTTGGCCTTTCAATAATTTTTTTTATTAAGAGATAAATAATATGCTAAGTGCACGTAGGCATGGAGGCATGACCCTACCCTTGTGTTTGGCCTTTCAATAATTTTTTTTTATTAAGGGATAAATAATATGCTACTCATTTTATTTTTTAAAATAATTTAATATGAATAGCATGTTGCAGCAAACGAGTAGTCTTTCACATGTCTAATTTTCAGCAATTTAATAGGCTAGAAACTAGGATGAAACTTATTTTTTCTTTTTTGAGCCAAATAACTTATTTTTCAATAAATACATTGGAAGTACTTGAAAAAAAAAATAACACACACAACTCAATAAACCTAATTATACTTTTAGAGTTGCCAAAAATCAATCAAAATAAAAAAATAACCAAAGATGCCTCAATATACTTTTTCTTTTTGACAATTTGAATATTGAAAATCACAACAATCCAACTTTTCTTATCAAATAAATTATTTGAACATCAAATTTTTATTATTTTTACACAAAGAATCGCAACAACCAACCACTCTTTTTCTTTATTGTCAATTTCTCTATTATTAAGAATCTAATATAAAAAAAGTAAAATTTTAAATTAAAATAAACATTGCAAAAAATTTCGATTCAAATTTATTATTCTTTATGTTTTACGATTTTATGTGTGTTTGACACTGTTTCAAAGGTGTTTTGAGAAAAAATAATTTTTTTATTTTTAAATTAATATATTTTTGATATTTTTAAATTATTTTTATATACTAGTTTAAAAAATATTTTTTTAAAAATAAAAAATATTATTAATATATTTTTTTGAATGAAAAATATTTTGAAAAGCATTTTAAAATAAATATGAGGAAAAAACGCAACTCCTTCATCGTTTTCTTAGATGTTTTAGGTATGAAAATCAGATTTTCCGATTCTTTTATATATTTTAGGTAATATCCGATCAATTTATCATTTTAATCACTTGTTTTGATAATAATTTATCTCGCACTTTGGCACCGTCACTCAATCTTCACACTTTATCCATTGCATGATTTGTTACCTTAATAGTATCTCAAATATATAAAAACATAATTTTAATATCAGTTAAATGTTATTTTATATGTGAGTGTTAATATCATCATCATCATATATATATATATGTGTGTGTGTGTGTAACATTAATATTTAATAATAAAAATCAATATAAATATCTTATCGGATACAATCAAAAACGGATATTTATTTTACAAAATAAAAATTAAGCATTCAATTATAAAAAACAAATAAATTTCACATCGATAAATTATGTTATACCAGAAGACTGAGGGAGTATATCATATAAAGGGCATTTCGAGAATTAAAGTAAATAAATAAACGTATAATAATGACTATTGTATATGGGTGAGCCCATTTAAATCTTAAGCTTTTAGTTGATGTACCGGAATAGAAAAAATAAAGCAAAAGGATTAGAAATGTGTTTGGTTAGAAGAGTGAAAAATAAAAAATAAAAATAAATTTGATTTTGCAATAATTATAGAGTTAATATTTATATTTTTAGAATAGGAGGTATATAGAAAATATATTTTTAGATATAATATTTATTATTTTTATAAATTCTCTATAAAAAAACTCTAAATTCTAAATTGTCAACTAAAAAATCAGATAATAAAAACAATTATTATCATATTTTTTTACTATTTTAAAATTTAATTTGAAAGTTAGTTCAGGGCAAAAGCAAAGTTATTGGTCAAGGTTCAGGTTAAAGGTCGGGTCAACCTGAGTTAATCAAAGTTAGTGTTATATATAATTATTATCATAATTTTAAAACTCAATCAGAGATAAGGCTTAGATTATAAAAGGAGTTGACTGTTGACCCAGGTCAATGCAAAGACAAAAATAATAATTATTATGACTTTAAAACTCGATTTGATGATTGAACTGGAATAAAATTCGAGTCACGTGTTAGAAGTGTTAATCAAATCAATGTAAAAAAATAGTTATTATTATAATTTTAAAATTTAATTTGAAAGTCAACCTAAAACAAGGCTCGAGCCATGAATTAGGATGGTCAACATGGCTTGACTCATGTCAATATAAAGATAAAAATTATTATTATCATAGTTTTAAAACTCAACTCAGGGGTCGACCGAGGCAATACTTAGATGAAGGGCTGAACTGAGTTAACATATAAATAAAAGTGATTATTATTATAATTATAAAAACTCAATTTAGGAGTTGATTCAGCATAAAGTTTAGATCATGGGTCGGGGAGTTAACCTAGTTAACCTATTTTTTTTAAAAAAAAATTAAAGTAACTTTGTCTTGATAAATGTTTTTAAAAGAGCCAGCAAGGTTTTTAACTTGTGTTCTATCATGGATTGACTTAGATTTTTGATCAGGTTAGATAAAATTAATCTTTATTTTATTTTTTTAAGATAGGATTAATTCAGGTTTTGAGTCAACTCTATAATTATTATCGTAACTTTTTATAGTTTTAAAATTTAATTTGAAAGTTAATTCAGGACAAAAGAAAAGTCACTAGTTGAGGTTCAAGTTAAGGGTCGGGTTAACCCAGGTTAATCCAAGTTAGTGTAGGAATAAATATAATTATTATCATAATTTTAAAATTCAATCCGAGATAAGATTTAGGTTACAAGTGAAGTTGATCGTTGACCCAGGTCAATATAAAGACAAAAATAATAATTGTTATGACTTTAAAACTCAACTTGATGATTGAACTGGAATAAAATTCGAGTCACGTGTCAGAAGTGTTAATCAGGTCAATGTAAAAAAGTAGTTATTATTATAATTTTAAAATTTATTTTGAGGGTCAACTTGAAATAAGGCTCGAGTCATAGATCAGGATGGT